CAGTGCGAGCATGACAGTTAAGTTTCACAACATTTTAAATCCAACAGCCATGAATAATTTACTCATTCTCATGTCATTTCAAACCCAAATGACTTTCTTTTTTTCTGTACAAAAACACTAAAGGTTAATTTTTAAAGAATATCCTGGCCACTCTTTTCAATACAAGACAAGCTACACATCAAAAAATTTGACAATATGACTTCAATTCCATACTATTTTATGGTCTGTTTTCCACAAAGCATACGACTTCTAGAGACTAATATAGAGGAGTCATGTTGGCTTTTATGTTGAAAGCTCAAGCCCACATTATTTATAATTGCAGGAAAATGAGTGAGCAACTACATTTTTGTTTTTAATTTTTTTTATTCCTTATGAATAAATGAGCACGAGTAAATGGCAATATTTTTTTATTCGAGCTAAGCTAATTCTTTAAGAAAAATAATACTCCCAGGAAACACTTTTTTGTAAGAGGAAGTAGTATAAACATAGGGTGCATTAGTCACTCCTTATCCAGTAAATGTCTGATAGATAAGAGAGATTTCCTCTCACACAGAGGCAGGATGTGTTGCTGTATCTTCAGGTTATAACAGACCTGCAACAGTGAGGTTGCAAAAAAGACAACATTTGTATGTTTAGTAAGGCAGTTTACCATCATGCTCCTATACTCATCCTCAAACATGTCCAGGAAAATCTCCTCCCCCTGCAGGAAGAAACATTACAAGGAAAAAAATTACCATAAAAGAAAACAAGATACACGATACACTACTCTTCAAAAGATTGGGGTCAGTAAGATTTGGATTAAAATGAAAAAAATGGTTTTAAAAGAAATTAATACTTTTATGCAGTAAGGACATATTAAATTGATCAAAAGTGACCACATTTACAATGTTACAAAGGTTTAGAATTTCAAATAAATGCTGTTTATTTAAATTTAGAATTGTCTATTCATCAAAGAATTCTGAAAAAAAAAATAATAATAATTAAGCAGTACAACTGTTTTCAACATTAATGAAATTTTTCTTGAGCAGCAAATCAGCATATTAGCATGATTTCTGAAGGATCACGTGACACTGAAGGCTGAAGTAATGGCTGCTGAAAATTCAACTTCATCCTCACAAGAACAAATTACATTTTAAAAATATACTGGAATAAAAAACATTTTAAAACCACATTAAAATATTTCACAATATTACTGTTTTTACGGTATATTTTATTAAATAAATGCAGCCTTGATAAGCTTAAGTGACTTATTTCTTGAACAATTAAAAAAATTTTGAACGGTAGTGTATATTAAAGGGGTCATATGACGTTGCTAAAAAGAACATTATTTTGTGTATTTGGTGTAATGAAATGTGTTTATGCGGTTTAAGGTAAAAAAAAAAACACATTATTTTCCACATACTGTGCATTATTGTTTCTCCTCTATGCCCCAACTTTCTGAAACGCGTCGATTTTTACGAAGCTCATCAGTCTGAAAAACGAGGTGTGCTCTGATTGGCCAGCTGTCCAGTGCGTTATGATTGGCCGAATACCTCAAGCGTGTGATGGAAATGTTACGCCCCTTACCATATTGTGATGCCCTGTCCGGCCGGAGCGACGAGACAAAAACGTTAAAACCTATTATAAACGATGTATTTGTTGCATCCAGTGGGGACATAATTATGACGGATTATAATGAGTTATACTGTCTTTTTTTCGCGTTGTGTTGCATCGCGCCGCGTAAACATAAAACCATGTCTGAATTTGTGATCGGAGAAATGACAAACAACAAGCACTAC